AGGAAAACCAAAGAACACATTACGCCGGGAAACGGAAATAGACATGAGAGAAATGAACAAGAATTGGATGGAACTAGAAAAGAAGGCCCAGGACAGAGTGGGTTGGAGAATGCTGGTCGGCGGCCTATGCTCCATTAGGAGTAACAGGCGAAAGTAAGTAAGTAAGTAAGTCAGGTCAAGTGAAAATTCCTCTAGGTAATAATATATTTCACAGATTAAAAAAATTTCAAAACCATCAATACTGAATACGAATTTCAATGAGAGGATAAATTAATGTTTGCTAATTCTTAACAAGAAATAAATTGTCAGTTGTGATATAAATCCAATATCGATTTATCTATACCGAATTAAAATGTCTAAAAATACACTTAATTGAACTCAATTATAATTTGGTACCTTGTAAATTACAATAATGTATTGTAATTGTAAATATTTCGAATTAAAACATATATGAATTACAAGAAAGAAATATATGTGGAATTAAATGAAGACCATTTGTTATAACTTGAAAAAGCTGATTTTTCTTGATACAACCGCGTATAACTGAGCACTAGAACACCAAACCCTTCCAAGTCGTAACAAGAAGACAGAAGACTAACGAAAGGAATATTATTCCAAACAGTGTCAAACATAGTACAAAAATGGTCAGGTATTTATAGTTTTTAGTGAGAACGAAATCATCATTACAGTCTTCCAATCCGCGTACAGGGGGTTATTAGCATTATCCAATGGGGAAGCTACACGTTGGAATTCTAGAACATTCTTTCGAAAGGTGATTGGATGGAACGTCTTCGGCTCCTTATGAGCCTCTTACAGCTTCCTCGAGTTCACCGGTGGTCCGTCGTCACACCTCCCCCCTTTAAAGTCCGTTGTATAAGATTTTTTTCTTGGATCCACCTGAAACTTGGGTGTCGCATTCCTCTTGCGGTTCATTACTCTCGAGGGTTGTACAGCTTTCTCTCTGCGTCGTTTGTCTTTTCGATATTCGCGCTCATGATGGTTCTTCTGAGATGAATCTACGAGCAATTGAAATGGAAGCCGGTTTTCTGTGACCACTGTACTATCATTTCTTTGCATTTGATTTATATGTCTTATGCATTTCTCGACATCTTTCCGGACTAGGTACAGCACATTTCCGATTCGACGTTCTATGACACCTGGTTCCCACTTCCTATTACCTTGATACGATCTGACAAGTACCTTTTCACCCACCTGGAAGCTACGATTGACCTTACGATTTTCATTCGTGGGTTTATTTGTCTTTCTGGGCGGCAACATACTGTTAAGAACTGTCCGGATTTTCCTTCCGAACATACACTCGGCTGGAGACTTTCCTTCTGGCACTGTCGGATTAGGGGTAACTCTGTAAGACATCAAGAACTTATTAATCACTTGTTCCGGGATACCCTCACCTCCCCCTTTGACCAGAGCTCTTTTAATCGTATCCACGAATCTTTCTGCCTGGCCATTCGACTGAGGATGGTATGGAGGAGATTGTAGATGCAATATGCCATTCTCGTTGCAGAAGCGTTTGAAGGCAGATGACCGGAAACTGCGTCTGACAATATTTTGTGAACCTCGGCCTCGACATCTATAGCAGCTACAAGCACCTCTTCTTCTTGTTTTTCATGCAGACCAATCAATCTTGAGAGTGCATCTCCCTGTCCGAAATCCGTTGTTGGTTGATAATTTATCTTGAAATCATAACCCAACAGTGTGGTAGCCCATCTCTGTAGTCGGTTTGCTGTATATACCGGGATGCCTTTTTTAGATCCAAAAACTGTCAGTAAAGGTTTATGGTCTGTAAGTAAGGTGAACTGCCGACCAAATAACATCTTGTGGAACTTTTTTACAGCAAATATAATCGCGAGGGCTTCTTTTTCTATTTGACTGTAGTTTCTTTCAGTCATAGTCAGAGATCTTGCAGCGTGAGCGATTGCTTTCTCAGAACCGTCAGGGTAGGCATGTGAAATTACTGCTCCAATTCCGTAGTTCGACGCATCTGCTGCGACTATAATTGGAAGATCGGGATCATAGTGTGTAAGGAGAAGATTCGATGATAGAAGCTGCTTCAGTTTTAGGAATGCTTCTTGGCATTCAGTTGACCAGAACCATTTAGTATCCTTTTTCAATAAGCAATTAAGAGGAGCACGATGGCGATGCAGATCTGGCAGAAAAACTCCATAATGACTAACCATTCCCAAGAAAGAACGTAAAGTTGACACATCCGTCGGTGGAGGCATGGACTTAATGGCTTCGACATTTTCAGGATCAGGTTTTCTCCCGTTTTTATCAATTATGAATCCCAAATACCGGACTTGCTCCATGTAAAAATCACATTTTTCGGCACGCAGTCTTAATCCATAATCTGCTATGCGTCTGAGAACCGTATCCACCTTATTCTCTAAATCAGCATAGTCTATACCCATGATCAATATATCATCGAGATAAGCCGCGGTACCAGGAATGTCTTGTAACATAGTGTCCATAACTTGTTGGAAGATTGAAGGGGCAGTCTTTACTCCAAAAGGAAGTCGGTTATATCGGAACAATCCCTTGTGAGTGTTTATTGTCAAGTAATGCTTACACTCATCCGCTACCGGAATCTGTAGATAAGCGTCTGATAGGTCTAATTTCGCAAAATACTTACCCCCATTCAGTTTCGCAAATAAATCCTCTGGTACCGGCAATGGGTATTGATGGGCTTCAAGCGCTTCATTTAATCCAGTCGAATAATCTGCACATAACCGGATACTTCCATTAGGCTTTTTAACAATCACTATTGGAGCTGCCCAATCAGAAAAGTTTACTGGTTCGATTATTCCACTTCTTTGCAGACGCTCTAATTCTTGTTCAACAATAGGTAGCGCTGCATAGGGTACCGGACGTTTTGGTCTGAAGACGGGGGTGACTCCCGGTTTAAGAATCAATAGTGCTTTAACCTTTTTGCATTCCCCCAACTCTTCCGTAAACACTTGACTGTGTCTTTCCAATACAACACTCTTCAGATCCTTTTCCACAGGTTTGCTGGTTCTCACTGCGCTGCATATGTGGTTAATGGGGTGATTTGCTAATTGAAGTGCTTCTATCAAGTCTAGACCTAGCAAATCTAGTCCTGGATTCTGTGTAAGATATAAAGTTGCATTCGTTTTCGCATTTCCTTTCGAGACTGTACAACAAACCTCTCCAACAATATTTAGTTTTCCTCCAGATGCGCTGTGAGCTAACTGGGTTGTTGGGAGCACCTGTGGTTTACCGATAAGACTCCAAGTTCTCCGACTAATAAGTGTGATGTCAGAAGCGGTGTCGAGTTGCAGGCGGGCACGCTTTTTATTTATATCCAAGTTTACATACTTTCTTTGGCGGCATATTCGTGCTCGATTATGTGATACCAATATTTTGTTAGTTCGAGCACTAAATCTGTATTTCTTCGAGTAGGGTTTCAAAGAATGTCGTTTATGGGTTCTTTTTCTGCAGCAGTTTTCTTTATGTCCCTTGCGATGACACTTGCTACAACAATGTTCTTTATATGGACAGAACCTTTTATAATGCCAACCACCACAAGACCAACATGGAGATGAAGGCTGATTATCTGTGTGCGATGCCTTTCTTGAGCAAGAATCATTCTTTCCGCTTACAGCACGAACGTATGGCAACTGGCCATTATTTTCGACCATCGAAGTGTCATGCTTTAGGTTTACCAATCTCTGGCACTCTGCGGTTACTTCTTGTAGTGTCATATTCGGACATTGTTCAATTTTACTTAAAATTCTAGTTCTAATATCGGCATCTTCGGGAGATTGGAGGCTGCACACAAATACGAGACACTTAAACTGGTCTTCTGTCATTGCTGATAGTTTGAAACGCTCACATTCACGGTTTACTAAACCCGCATGTTTCACCCAGTCATCATCAGCTGCTTTTGTCATCTTGAGACACTGATAACGAATATTAAACAAGGATGACTGTTCAGCAAAGATTTGCGACAAAATTTCAATCGTTGCATCAAAAGAAAAATCTCTTGGATTCTTTGGAAGGATAAAGTTACTGTAACGTTCATGTTCAACAGTTCCAAGCTTTCGCAAGAGTATTCTGACCTTAGCGGCGTCATCAAGTTTTTTCAGGTCGACCTTGAACAAATCTTCATATTTCTTGAACCAAGTTTCAAAAGTAATGCCAGCTGAACCATCAAAATTAAATTCATGGATAGAATTAACAATCTGGTCAACATGAGATTTGAAGGGATCATCTGTAACTTCTTTTTGATCCAGGTTCATTTTCTGCGTTAGCATCTCTAACATGCGCATCTGGAACTTTTCTTGGCGTTCCAATAAGGCTTCAAATTGTTCCAAGGTAAGTGACATATTGATACAATAACCCGTCGCCAGATGTTATAACTTGAAAAAGCTGATTTTTCTTGATACAACCGCGTATAACTGAGCACTAGAACACCAAACCCTTCCAAGTCGTAACAAGAAGACAGAAGACTAACGAAAGGAATATTATTCCAAACAGTGTCAAACATAGTACAAAAATGGTCAGGTATTTATAGTTTTTAGTGAGAACGAAATCATCATTACAGTCTTCCAATCCGCGTACAGGGGGTTATTAGCATTATCCAATGGGGAAGCTACACGTTGGAATTCTAGAACATTCTTTCGAAAGGTGATTGGATGGAACGTCTTCGGCTCCTTATGAGCCTCTTACAGCTTCCTCGAGTTCACCGGTGGTCCGTCGTCACACCATTGGAATGTACAGAAAATTACCAGTATGAGATGGATTCAAACATAGACAAAGTTATAAACTATTCATATTCATTAGAATTATTATTGATTGAAATTCTTCGATTGATAACAGAGTACCTTATGCAGTAAATATATTTTAACAACAACGGAAAAAACGCACGTGATAATCTTATTACCAAAACAAAGCACTGTTACAAAAGCTATTGGATAAAGTACAATAATTGCTTTTTTACAAAAAATTATTCCTCAACATACTTTAGTATATCTGCAGCATTAGGAGGATAACGAAACATTGTTCGTGGTTTAGGATAAATACTTGGTTGATTTTGTTCTCTATTTACATTTTTTGATTCAATATCTAAAGACGATGTGTTATTCTTATTTAATTCATTGTTAAATAAATTAACACGATTTGCTACTGTTGAATTAACTGAATTTTTATAAGAAACAGTAGAACTAGTTGTAGTTTCCTTATCGTTATTACTCGATATTGAGGAGTAATTATTGAACGGTGACGAATTTGCATTCACTGTCAATGTAGTGTTTGTCACTGAAATGAAAAGAAAATGACTAATCATAATTTCTCCAAATGAGGTTTAGACCAACAAATAAAAGAAAATGAAGAAAAAATTCTAAGACTACTTTACAAATTGTTAGTAGCACAAAAATGAAGATATCTATAATAAGGATATGAAAAAGCATACATAAACAAAATAGCATGTATCGACTTACAACAGCTAGGTCTTGTTGTACTAATTGATTTGCGTCGAACTGGAGTGGCGCTAAAGATAAAAATAGTACAAATTATCAAATATTGGCATAAAGAAACACATAAAACCTTCGTGATCACGACATCATACACAGGGTCACACGATCAAAAAAAATTAATAGATTTGGGACCAAAGATACTTGGAAATCGTACTTATTTATATGTATCCAACTAAAAAATGACCGCGACATTGATAAGATTTACATATTTTTATCTCTGTTAATCAGTTTTATAAAAATAACACGATTTGTCATCGATCATCAGCTATTTCAATCAAGTGTTTATGAAAAACAAAGGTTTACGAATATAATTTTTAGCTTGTATTTACTGTTGTACATCTTATGGTGTTAAAGTTCCACTAAATTTGTATGTAACTATAAACATGAAAATTCTTAATGTAATCATATTTTTACAGTTTGACAGTGATTCATTAGTAATATGTTCACTGTCAAACAAAAAAATAATATGTGAAATGATATTAGCATATGGATTGAGCTTTAGGAATTGTTTTGCTAAAAATAATTTTATTAGTTTGGCTTATCAATAACAATCGGTTGAACCATTTTACTCATGTGTAACCAATTTCATCTCAACGTGATAAATAAAATAGAAACGTAATGTGTAATGCGATAACTTTATCACAAATATTCATCTGTAAACATTTGATTATTACGCAAGTATATAGGTTTTATTTTATATACACCGATCTTACCGATTGAATTGTGATGTTTCTCGATGCTGGACATGATTCATAGTTGATGTATCTTCACAACTACCATTGACTAAAGAAAATAAATCGTGAGAATGATTCGATAATAAAGATGATTAGTGTTATGAAAAGAATACTAGATCAACATTTTTCGATATGGCATATCATTTACTGTCTTAGCATATAAAAAAGCATAATGCTGAAGTCCACTGACGAAAATGTCTATTTTCATAAATAAAACATTTTCTAATACTTACTCATCCATAATAATGATAATTGTGTGGTTACTAATGACAGACTTCGGAAACTAATAATAGCAGTCTTATTGAGGAAGCATGATTAGTCCCATACTAGGGTGAAACGGCCGTTCAGTGCTTTCAGGATTTCAATGGTGATCTAGCTTCAATTGACTGGTGAATTCGACTATTAAATTAATATAAAATTTGTTTACTATCAAAGTCATTTACGTTGGTAGTAATTTGAAACGAGTTTTAAAAGTGCCATATTTTAACAACCAACATCAAAACAAATATATAAAACCAAAAATATATGGCATGGATACCTTATGAAAGCATACCTAACAACTGAATTCAGATGCATCTATATTACACTGTGTTATTCAAGGTTTTTGATTGTATAGTCATAATTTTCTTATCTTAAGCAAAGTTTATACAGGCAAGAAAATTTAGCAAATAGTAAATTACTCCTGCCACTACTTCTACTGATGTAAAATAAAAGGACATAGGTATAAAGTAAATATAGGTACTTTGTGTGTGTGTGTGTGTTTATCTATCTGTGTATCTTAAAATCGATAACCAAAACAAACGTATTCCAAGTGTGAATAGACAAGCAAATAAAATGTTGAACAATGAAAATTTAGTGAATTATGGGTATTTTTTTAATAGTCCTATTGCTTCCATATTGTTAACTTACATATATTCTTTTAATCCTCTTCCATATCATAATCAAGTTTCATAGCTGTTGAACAACAATTACATAAATACATATACTGAGAAAGAGAGGTCAAGTTAAAACACTTGTGCGGTTGAAATGCATCATCTGTTTTCATAAATGTCAAGTATAACTGTTTGTATAAACAGTAATCTTTCCCAAATCACACATATAATGAATATCAACACAATGAATGTCCAGATTACTTCATAATAACTTAATATGAAACTGTAATCTCTGTGCTGTAAGGAAAATTTATTTGACACATCAACAACAGGAAGTTATTATTAGCGAACACTATCTCATAAAACATAAGAAAGAGAACTAATATAAATCATCAATTAGAAATGTTTAGTGTTAAATTCATGGAACAACAATTCACTTTTCATGAATATCTAAGCATAATGTGTAACTACTGGTAGGGACAAATCGATAATGATATTAGAAAGTTAAAAAATGGATTTTTCAAGGAAAAGTAATTTACCTGGTGTTTGTTTTTCATTTGATGAAAATAAATAGCCTTTATGATTAAAATTAATATTAGGAGCAGCTGCTACAGTAACACATGTCGGTGTCATTATGATTCCTGTTGATGTTGTTGTTGGTGTTGTTGTTGATGATGATGTCACGAATGAAGAAGCGTGATTTTTATGTGTATGATAAAAATGTTTACTTTTATGTGACTTATTAGATGAATGAGATAATTTTACAGAGGTCGGTGATGCAGAACCAGAATCTTTATCATACAAATCATTATCATCAGATACTGCATCTTCAGAACTTGTCGAAGAAATTGATAATTCTTTCATGAATCCGTTAGTATGATTATTTATTTTATTTTCAACCGATGGAGATTTTCGACTATGCATTCGTTGATTTTTGATTGAATTTCCAATTTCTTCTTCATCTAATGCTAATGGTGCAATAGTTTGTGGTTGAATAGAAAATGACCGAGTAGCAGCTCGTGGACGAGAATTATGTCGTGTAAATGATGTAACTAGTGGTGGTACTGAATTAGAGTTTGATGGAATTGAACATGATGGTCCGTTAGACATGTTAGCAAGTGTTAAATGAGCGGTAACAGAAGCAGGATGAAGAGTAATAACTGAAGGTTGAGTTGCAGGTATCTGATGAGAAATATCAGATGGCGGTGCTTGAGACGGTGGAGGGGGTGATGAACTTTTTGATATTGAAGGTGAAAGAGTAGTTAATGTAGGAAGTACCGATGATTTTAATAATACACCTGAAAACAGTGAAAACACCAGTTAAACAGGAGAAAAAAACAATTAAATAATCATTTCATTACAAGTTTTCAGAAGGTTTAAATAATTGATTAGAAAAATACTTGCCTGGTAAAGGGGCTGTCACCTGATTAGCATCTGATGGTCCGGAAACAGTAATAGATCTGCGCACTGAGCTTGCAAAACCGCGAGCACTACTGTTTGAGTTTGAATTTGTTGTAGATGGATTTGAATTTGCATAGGAGTCTGTACATAAGCTTTCTGATGTTATTGTAGTAGCAGAAATTGTATCCTTGTTAGGACGAGAAACCGCAGTTCCATGTCTGGTATTTAAACCAAATGAATCAGTAATACGACTGGTAACGCCATTTGTCATTGAATGTGAAGTTACTGAACCAGTAGTAGTGACTGATGTCATACCTAAACTGTTATGTGATGGTGAATTGTGAAACTGTGATCTTGAAGTGTTTGGTGTACTAGATTGTGTTTCTGGCGTTTGACGTGAACGTACCGACTGACTATCCGATTTCAAACTAGTAGTTGATGTACTAGGCAAACCTCGTAGCCGACCATGAACACGCGGATCATAACGGGCTAATAGTAAATATGTAGCAGTAATGTTATTAAATCGTTGTTGGGTCAAAGAATCATGAATATCCTCGCGTTTGAAACCCATACGAATCATAATGTCTATCAAGAAATAATTATGTAAAAATCAAATATATATATACGAACAGATGATAAATGAAATAGGATTATTTTAAAGTACATATCTGATAGCACATAAAATCTGGATTGATTGCATAGCCCTACGACTTTTACGGTTATAAAGTAACGTTAATCAGAAAAAATTTGTAGAATCGATATTAATTAATTGTCATAGACAGTTGATGAAAATCTGTTCAACTCAAAAATAGTATTCATTTCAAATTACGCACAAGCTTAAGAAAACAATAAAAACCAAAAAGGTATTTTGACTAATAAGCAGCTAACACCAATGAAGCTACGTGTTAAACGGAAATTAGAATATTGATGCATTACAATATCCACTGTGCTTTGAAATTATTATGTTTGTAACCAATGAATACATATCCCAATAAGTTCAATAAAATTGGCGGATAATTGTTTTGTTTCTTACAAAAATGACATTGAAATAGTCTCAATAGAATTAGATAAAAATTCATCTAGAAGTTAGTCAATTAATGAGTTCACAGTTATTACTTTAATAACCAATTTGTAGAAAAACTTTTAACATTGTCACTCGGAACCGATTATATAACAATTGAGATACTTATTTATGAACGTTCGCTTATCGGAATACCCAAGTTATCTGGAAACACATTCCTCAATACTACGTAGCTTGGGAAGATTATCCCAGATGATATAAATAATTTTGAAATCTATTATTCGGCTATAATGTTCAAGCTACTCTACATGCGTTCCCCCAAATGCCCTGGTACGGCCAAGAGTCAGCTCTCCCTCTCGAAACGCTCTCATATGGCCACGTGCATACAACCACTTCTACGGAAGATAATTAAGAGTTTAACAACAAACTAATTTATTGTAGTATTTTGTTTTTGTTTACACTTACACTTATGTAATAACAGTTATAATTACATAAGTGTAAGTGTAAACAAAAACGAAATACTACAATAAATTAGTTTTTCGTTGAACTCTTAATTATCTTAATAACAGTCTAACACATAGATCTACCTAATTAACTGACAGTATATTTTGTCTATCTCAAAGAATTTAAATATATACATTAGCATGAAAGAAGAGAAATAATAAGAAATCTAGTTTTAACAAATAGTTAATAGTTTGCTAGCGATTCTACTGTGGATAGATCTCTGGCCCGTACCTCTATTAAATCGGATTGTCCGACTATATATATAATGCTGAAAGTTAAATCTGATTATATTGCTCTTATGAAGTGTCCTCTTTCTAAATGTGTTTTTAAGCAATACTATGTTGGGCTATTTAAAATCCAATAAAAAATTAATCAATTGAACATGTTCTCAACTCTGACTACCCTAGTGAATTTGTCTTAACAAAGAGGAAATCAGTTCTCTTATATTTCACTAATAATCCAGTTATTTATAATGTAATAATAATATCTGACAAAATAATTTATGATGTGATATTAATAATAATAATAATAATAATAATAATAATAATAATAATAATAATAATAATAATAATAATAATAATAATAATAATACCTAGAACATTGATTAAATAATCTAAATAATTTACAAAAACAAACATAAAAATCATAGTTACGTATCCTTAACTTTAGTGGAAAGTTTTCATACATGAAAAAGTCTATTGATTCATGACTAGGTATCTTTCCCTCTTCCTCTCTCTCTCTCTTGCTTCCTCGCAAGTCCACATACACACACATTGAGACAGCGAGGAATAGAAATGTAAGTAAACCATATGGAATGTAATAAAAACAAATTGTTAAAGTAATCAATACATACACGTTAAGTGTTATCGAATTATTGTTTTATTTATTGTTGTTATTGTAAGTAATTATTATAAAAACAATTTCAAACTGTTATTATCATTATCATTTGATTTGTAACAAACTTTTTTTCACGAGAATAGACTGTTACTTTATTAAATAGTGGAAATGCCATGATTAGATGATGACGATGATAATAATGGTAGTAGTCTCGGAGGAGGGTGAAAGGAATATTAAGATGACGACATAGTTTGAAGAAATAGTCTTGGATGATTGATATGTTTGGATTGACACTGGCAACAATTCTCGTCACTTTTCGTTAGATAAAAAGGATACGAATCCTGAAGTCCAACCCATACATATATCGCGATAACGAGATACAACTGTAGTTAAATGAAATTATGCCAAAATTATTAGCAAGGTGTAGTTAGTTAAAAGCATCAGTGGATGAAGTGGTAAATCTTCATCGACTGAGATGGTTGGGCCACGTGTGACGTATGCACGACCACCGATTACCAAGAAGTGAAATGCTGACTAGTGTTGAGGATGGTTGAAAGAAAGTCAGGGATGGCCGAACCGAAACGTAGCATCAGTGTTTGAAGTCACTAACTTCTAATCTGAGCCATGTTGGTAGATGCAGACTACTTGGTTGGGGTCAACGTGACTGTCACAACCAATGATTGGAGACTCTATGTGACATGGCTGAGAATCGATCACAATGGCATCGGTGTATACACCCTTTATCTGTCCTCAAACGGTGAGATGAAAATTGTTTTATACTTTTATTTACACGAACTAATTCCTTCTTCCTTACACACCATCTTCCTCTTATGTATTACTACCACTGAAGTAACTACTATGAATTTGGTGTTCATTTTGTTGTGCTAATGAGATATGTCAACTTGTATCGATGCATATATGTGCCTGGTCTTACGTTGTGACTGACTGAGTTAAAAGCATCAAACTAAGATTCAGCGTATCTAAAAGTACGGATTTTAAACAGAAAATCAATGTTGTAGTACAAAATTCAGTTTACAAACAAGCCATTTTTGAGTTGGGGTGGGGGTTATCAAGGCCTTATTTTTGTTGTATTCAAAAGCATCTTCCAAAATAACTTGACAAAAGGCAACCTAGGTAAATTATATATTGTCTTCTGGAACATGTAATAGATTCATGATATTCATTCATTGTTTAACAATATTTGTAAGTTAAGTGCATAATGAAAAGTTATCTGTCCAACATTCCTAAATCTTCAGATATAATTCATACCTTGAAACAAGATTTATTTATACAAAAACAGTTAGCTAGATCCCTCAATATACAATGGATCCTGGTGTTATTTTGATCGTACACAATATGCACAGAAGTTTGGATCTGTTCTGAGTGTATTATTATAATGCAGAAGTTCTGTAATTAAAATTCTTGATTACCATTCAGACTACATATCTTTTATTTCAACTTGTTGTTCACATACACTAACAATTACAATTATTGGTAGCAACTAATTTTATTGTTTATGGTAACTTCTTCGACACCACAGTGTACTTGAGAAAATCGTCGTTATCATCCGGAGTACATAGGACGGCCTGAACTGCAAAGTCGTTAATAGGGAACAGCTGACATATGCATGCCAAGTGAGGACCGGAATCGGGCAACGATGCTTACTCTCCCCCTTTCTCCCTCTTCTGATAGTTGACTGGGTTATGAAGACCTACATGTCTTAAGGGAAGCACAGAATGCAATTAACTGCTTGGATGCAACTAAACGTTTCGGACTTCGCAGATGACCTAGCTCTTCTATCCCATACACACTAACAAATGTAGATGAAGAAAACCAGTGTAGCAGCAGTCTCTGCAACAGTAGTAGTCAGATTTACACCAACTATCGATGATATAATTCTTAGTCATATTGATTGAATTAAGCAATGCGTAGATGATATTGAAAATAAATATAGTATCTTATTTGCAAGTTCACAGTTAATTTGCTCATTGTGATATTTATTCGCTTGGGATCGAAAGTGTAAGTCTGTGAGTAATCACTTATTTATTTTGTATCATTAGTCACACTGACACTGTGATGTATGTTTGTAGCACCAATCGAAAGTGGAATGCATGCAAGCAGAAGATTAAGAAGATTCAATTGAAGAGAAAAGAATGTGAAGCAGAAAGTAATTGTAATAACAACAAAATGAAAAGAATCATGAAGCATGTAAAGGACAACTGATGAAAGATGTGCAAATTATGTATTTAACGTATTATTTCCATATTTTGCCAAAGCACTCTATAATTTTGCATTAAACAGTAAACTGGTCTTTCCCACGTGTGTTCGATCACTACAAATGTCATTTGTTTATTGAGATTTACCCAATAACCTATTCTTTTTATTTTTTAAAATCAGAAATATAAGAAGAATTGTGAAGAATTGAACGTTTTTAATCATTAAGCTACTGATTGATATTCTTTCAAAAAACAAGTGATTAAATGAACACCTACCAATACGTTCAGGATCACAATAATCGGCTGGCTCTTCAGTATGAGGTTTAAGTATGTTGTGTTCATAACCCTGATTCATCCATGGATCATTCATGACTTCCTATAATTAAGTAGAAATATATATGTAAAATATTGTTTTCATGATGAAACAAATATTAACGACATATTTTTCATGTAAAAATATTTCGAGAAACAAAATGTTTACAAACTACCATTGAAGTTAAAATAATCAATTCTTAAAGAACTTATAAGCTTAACAAGACAGATATTTCAATTAGTTGTATAACAATCTATCAATATACACTTAGAAATTATCGTTACCAATTTGGAATTATCCTATTAATTTCATTAAATAGAAAGCTTAATAAAGTTAATAAAACAATACAGGTTTAGTAAACAAAAAGACTGATCTACCTAATGTAGGATACACAGCATCCGAGTTCAATGTCATTATGAAATATGTAGGTGTGTACCGACCTACACATCTTATTTAGAATCAGCACACAATTTATCCAAATAAACAAGAAAGGTTTTAAAAAAGGAAGTAATTAAAAATTACTTATGTTTTACAAATCTTTTTGAGAATTTCAGTAGGAAAATCATGTTATGAGAAATAATAAAAAGGAATGATTACATTTTAAAAGTATACAACAAAATAGTAAAATGTGGTGAATAACTAATCCCCATTTACTAAGTATGCAAGGATATTTGAACTGATTATACATTACATTTCATTAACTAATGCATAAGTGTTCTTATCGTCATCGTCATATACTACTATTAGGCTACTTTTAACTATGCATTGAAACTGAAGGGAATTATCACAATAATAATCAAATTAGCAGCAGGATTTCACGTTTTAGAATGCTGAACAGTAAGAAAAACGAGATTTTAATCAGCCTATTTGAATATGGCGGTTATGAATACAACCTAGTTTAAATTACTATATATATATATTCGAATACTTAAAAATTCACTAAATAAATATTTAATAGAGTTATAATATGGCTAACAGTGGGATCCAAGATGCGTGTTTCGTCCTATTTAGAACACGTTAGTTGATTTAACCTTCACTGCTGTGATGCTCACACTGAGACTTAGATGCAGTACCTATAAATCCGAACTCCGATAAATTATCCACTGAGTGCGAATAACTATTAATTTATATGGTGGGAAGATACTTGTTCATTCAGGTCTATATGAATCTCTGGTTACTGGTCCAGGACTGAACTTTGATCAGTTATTGTTGGGATATGTGGATACCGAGCGAATGAATCGATAATGCGTCGTATTTGCAAATCTTAATGTATTTGGATTGTGGCTAGAAGTACATTCGTTATTTTAGCGATCTCTTTATTCTCAATCATTTTTATCTTGATTCTCTTACGGTTATTTTAAAAATCACTTGCTGAACAATCTCAAAAAAAGAAAGAGATCATCACTGGTGATACTCTGTTAATTTATTAATTTACGGTCATCACCTTTAATCATATAATGCTATGTTATCTGTTAATGTGTTCGATACATTCTGCTAATTTAATTAAGAATTTACATGGCAAAACAGAAACCATGACGACAAATAAATTCAAATCATTCTGATTTGATTGTTATTCTTTAATTCGTTAAGTTTATAAAGGGAGACTAATTGAATGAAATGAAATTTCGATCAATAGAGCTCATCTTATTAACACGTAGTTGCCAATTAATAGCTCATTCATATGTTTGAGATTATGCTTACGTGTGCATTAAGTGCTCTCAAGTCGTGTATACAGTTCAATCGTCTAAACATGGGGCATTAACTCATTTATGGACACAATTCTAAACCTATTTTAACTACAGACATAGAGCTACGTTAGTCCTTCGTTACATCTGTCAACCAATCGTAAGAGATGTAGAGCCGAGCATACGCGCACCTGTTGAAGTTACCACACAACAAGCGCAGCAAGAAATTATCAAGAAGAAAATAACAGTAGTAATAATACAAATGACAGTCGAAAAATTAGGCCTAGAGAAGATAATCCAAGAATGAACGAATCTGTAGGATAAAAAGAATAAAATAATTCTGATAGTGAAGATGTATGAGAAGATAAAAAGTAAATGCTTTTGAATCATTGTGATAGATTCTGAACTAAGGCGGGGTAGCTTGGACATGCTTTAGTCTAATAGTCAATTACTTTACAGACTTATGCTGAGCATTGATTTAGCACCCTTAACATTGCTTCCAGTTCATTTCTACGCCAGAGCACATCACATGTCTAGGTAGGTGGTGGTTGAGTAATATGTACTATATATCTCAGCCCCATTAGTCGTTGGAGATTCGACAATCTTAATAAACGATATATCAACTTTAATTAGTACCCTACGACTGAACTTAACGTTAATCACTCGGTGGTCTCAATATACGAGACAAATCTTAAGAATACGTTAATGATCAATTACTAGTATTCTATGACCATCTTATCTAAGTAATTTACACCTCCTAACAATTGGTCATTATGAATTAATTAAATACTTGAATCAATTCTATATTTAAATAAAATGAATTTATTTATTTAAAACAAAATATAATTATGAAGAGGATGGTTTAAAAGAAGGAAAATATGTAAACAAAATAAATAATTTAAATCAATTAATTACTTTAATATTTATTTCTATACATTAGTCGAAAAAAATACACGGAACAGGTGAGAATTCAACAAATAAAAACAAACGATTAATACAAAATATAACACATACTGAAAGATTATCAGTATGGGGATTTGCGGAGACTGTGGTAATTTCACTGTTGAATTCACAAGTCGATCTAAGCTAGACCACCGGTGAAAACCTGGTAGTACTGGACTGCCGTTTCCTCTTAGTACGGGGCTCCTCAGTGGTCTCGAGGTTACGCGTTCACGTGCAAAACCTAGTCCTGGGTTCGAGCCCGCGTGCATAATCGTGGATGCGCACTACCGAAGAGTCCCATACTATGACGAAACGACCGTACAAGAATTTCGGGTTATCAATGGTGTTCTAGTTTAGATCGACTCATGAATTTAACTGTAGGAATCAAGATTAATTAGAAATGTGATTACAATAAAACACCGAAATCAGTTCTTTTTATAAAGCAACACAGAAGACCAGATAATAATATGTGTAAATGGGTTTTGATTGTTAAATGAAATACAATCCATAAAATTATAAACAAATAAGTTTAATCTATGAACTTTATGCTTGTATGAAAGCTAAGTGAAACTATAACTTCATCATTAACGTTTGATATATATATATATATATATATATATATATATATATGAGTTGAAGATAAATGAAACAAAATGCATTACACAAGTTATTAGCAGAAAATTAATCCATCGTGTATTGAAAAAAGCCTTAGACAAACAGCAGGTCTTTCTTAATGCCATAAATCTATGGTAGTTTGCCACCAAAGTTTATAAGGTCACTAATGAATTATTCATGATCACGTTTATGTTAATTTATGAAGATCAGAGATATACACATCAATATCAATATGTGCGCGCACACATATGATATAAAAAAGGTTATCTCTATCAGAAAATAATATTGAATAGAATGGTAAGATAATTGTTTTTACCTGCAATGAAATACGTTTAGCTGGATTAAGGACCAACATTTTTTTCAGTAACATTTCACATTCATGCGTCATATAATAAGGCACTCGATAGGTACCGCGTAACACACGTTCACGTAATTCCTGAAAATATGATAAGAAAGGAAAAGTATGTGAGGAAAAACCTAGGTGAATAATCCATTTAATATCATTTAATGAGCTAAGACTAATTCAAAGATTTATTCAGAACTTTTAATGCATGATAAAGAGAAAAACAATTTGAACACAATGATATCGCTAATCTTGAAATTTTTGAATAATTAATATGTTTTCTATTGGTATAAGCTATTATCTTACTATCCTTGGATAACGCAATGATGGGTATTCACTGATCTTGATAGGTTACATCTCTATGTTACTAACTAATGACGAACCTAAAAAAATTATGCACGTTTTGAATGAGTTGTAATCTTGTCTACTTTTCCATTACATAATATGTATATTAATTATTTTGTTGTGATGTACGAGGACAACTTTCCTCGGTAATTAATTGATTTATCTGCTCACCGATCACACATTCACACGAACGTACAATCTCGGGATGTAAAAGTACACCATTGCACATAGGTTTACACTACTATACAACACAACAACAATTTAAAAAAGTCGTAATTCGAAAGTAAGATATTTCTAAAACATTATCTTCTCTAAATCAGTAAAAATGAAAGGCAACCATTAAATCCAGAAATACAAACGATTTGAAGTAATAAACGGGTCTGTTACCTCATTTTAGACCGCCGGTTAAGAAATGAATAGTTAGTTGTCTTGTGCCATTCAAAATTTTACAAAGATTAATAGGATATTAGGAGAATATGTTAAACGACCACAATAGGAAAATTAAATTTTAATAGCTTGATTATATCCTTTAATAAATAATACCCATGAAGCTACTAAGTGTAGATCTTCTGGAAAAAATATTTGCCAACAATATCTCGATTTTAGTAAATAATCCGTAGAAATTATGACTTACTCTAAAATATTAAAGAGATATTTCTCGTCGCGTGTCTTTGATTATGTGACAAATTGTAAATAAAGATAGCCATTTAATGCTTTATAGACTTGAATAACTTTTTGTTTCATTTAACTCAATTATAAAATTTTTTGGCGAGACTATGATTTGTGGTTGAACCAATAAAATTTTGGATGAGTTTATGAATTTTCGGACTAAACGTATTCACCGTTAGCTACATAGCACTCTGAGATCATAGCTGATGTCAATTTATGATGAAAAACCTAACTCTAATTCACAACCTCAACTTTCAACTTTAAATCTTCTTGATTATTTGCACTAATCTTCAACAATTTTATGGTTTTAATCAGCGGTTGAATTTTATTAGGCCCACTTCAGTATCTCTCATTAATTATAGTCTCATTGAATGTTCGCAACAAAAAGTCAAGTCTTTACAAACCAAATAAACAGATAAAGTAGTTGACATTGACCATTTTAGACCAACATTTATTATTTATTTTTATTTATTTTAACACAGATATTGGTACAATTAGGCACCAAATACATATGCGCCACACAAATCTCATTTGATATATGTGAGGGCTGTGATACTGCCCGGGTGCCCAAACCGAAGCAGGTGGTTATCTTAGGGGGCCACACTCGGAGCCTTCGACATGAAGGTCCACAAGGCAGTGGATAAACGTAAGGAGATGCAGTCCCATGGTAGCCGGTGATCAACAATTGGTTCATACGCCATTTGTTCACTCAGGATACTGGAGCTCATGTGCACCATTGGTTTGGAATCATGGTTTTCTAACTCCCCTAGGTGGACTCTCCATGTACATCAACCCGGTTAAAGCACCGGACATTCGCTTTTCGTCCTCTCAATTTCGTAAAGAACACCCCACCATGAGAAGGCAGTGAGTAGGACTTCCCTGGCAGAAGCTATATACGCGTGGCCATGTGAAAACATTTCGAGAGGGAGAGCGGACTGTCCCCACTCTTGATCGTACCAAAGCATTTGGGGGCTACACTCAGAGATTAACGTATACTGACAAAAGATAATACTTTCAATTATTGTCTGATACAGTTTTTCAGTTATTATTATTAATAGTAGTATTACAAGAATAAAATTGTAATGAACTAGAATATATATATATTCAAGTTATACTCTGGGTAAGATATGATGATATGTACTATTAACTGTTCATTGAATATATTTATTTATATATTGAACTTTAAGTGAATTCATGATTTTTGTCCTTTTCATTCAACTTCAAACTACTAAAACAATTTACAAGATTTTATAAAAAAAAATTCAACAAAAAACTATTACACACCGGGAATAACTATTACTATTTTCACCAAAAGTTCATCTTTTAAACAAATTCCACATGACCTATCATTTTAAAACACAATTTAGATTTTGTACCAGTTCAATTGGTATTTTAAAACTACCAAAGGGTAAAAAGAAAGTCATTTTTTTTGTCATAAACTTATTGAACACACCCAACCCAGATAAGTATGTAAACTTTTCTATTGATTCTAAAATAACTTATATGGTTTTAAACAAAAATATGACGAATTCATAGAAATATTCGAATTAATATTTGTATTAAATTGAGAGAAACAAAGTAAACAAAAATGATCGAAATGAAACGTTTATCTAAGATACATTTGGTTAACAAAATATACACACTGGAAGAAATCAGCCGATCATTCTATATTTATGAAGTATTTATACTTTAACAATAAATAAGTTTGTTTTAATTAAAGATAAAAACATCATTGTTGAACACAACATGATCATTTGAATAACACGTTGTTACTTCGTAAAGAAAAAAAACTTACCAGCTATGGTCGAATTGCATCTGGAGAGTTGAGATCTATGATCAACATGCTGAAAACTTAGTGGTTCAAACATTTAGCTACCTCTTTTCACATAAGTATTTCTTAATGAAATAGCATTATATCATTCATTATACTAAGTAAAATATTTATTAAAGTGTTAACTAACAAGTAATAGGCTTACAAAGACAATACTGACATACACTACATTTTAGATATGAATTAAAATACACATGGGTACCAATGATAAATGTCACCAATACATAATAAATAGTTTTGTTTAATGATCTTCAGGCAAATGTCAACGCTACTAGTAGAAAAATGTAGATAATGTAATTCCAATGAGACAACATCAACAACAGCGTCTGGTAGAAAAAAAAGCTAAATACAGGTAACATAATAGTATATTAAACCGGCCTACAGTTAAAAAGGTGATGATCCATTATAACATATTTTTGGGTTACATAACAATGTTTAAATGAATGTAGGAATGACCTATACTTGCAGATTGTATAAACTCAGAGTACTTGTTTCGACTGATAATAAATACACACGGACTAGAAAACTTGTTTTAATCAATTTTCTAACGAATAAGAAAAAACAGTTAGATGCAGAAATAGAGTTAAATACCAGATAAATATATTCTGTAGTAGTATTAATAGTAGTAACAAAGTTGAGGGCATAGAATGTGCATCGTTACCCCGTTTATACTGATAGATAAATAGAGACTGATTTGAGAAACGGGATGAACTAAATAAACGAGAATTTACCCTAACGTCTTTCTCTATCTTACGCTTTTAATTAGAAAAGTTCATAAATAACTATGAAAAAAGCCAATCACTGAAATATATATATATATATATATATATATATATATATATATATATATTGATAAAAGAGTAATTATGAATTGAAGATTCAAAAAATATCGAAACAAACAAATCAGAGCAAGGAATAAAAAATCTCTCCTAAAAGTGAGAAAATTGCGAAAGTTTATAGTAATAATAAGATGGTGCATGCCATAAATCAAATTCTATTTAAAAAATGAACTAATCAAAATTCATTTTGACATTTATCGTAAAGAGAACAGTTTACTGAAAAGATTACTTTTCAGTCAGATCAACAGTATACATTAAGTTTCTTTGTTTTTAAAGAGAAAAAAGGGTAGATCTAGAATTCATTTGGATAAATTAACAACAAATAGGAATTTAAAGTTGGCTTTCTGCTATATCACAAACTGGAATCAATTGAAGAACTGTTAAAAAACAAACAAGCTATACTAACGTATTGAAAGTACAAGTTGAATGAAGAAAAACTATCTTTCAATTAATTTCACGTCGTGAGTTTAAACTATTATATACGTTTTCAATTAGTTAGTTTATTCAATATCAAATAAAGTGTGGTGGATCAACTAATCTTCATATTTTCACTAAAGATAGAAGTCACTAAGTAACTCAACAGATGCAAAGTTAAAACATTATGATTTAGAACAGTATAAAAGTGTACAATCAAGATTGCGTCAACCTTTAAACCCAGTGAGCTGTAATATATGAAGTTAATCAAGGGGAAAGCTTCATCAGAAATGCTTAAATCCTATATATACCGTAACATATTTCGGTTTATCACTTATTAACATGTAGTTTAGCGCATGGTATCTGATATGAGACCTGTAAGAATTACCACTTATTGTCAGAAAAAACTAAATTCTTAGCCGAAACCAAGTAACAGATTACGATGAGTTCTCAGTCTCCATCGTTACAATCAAGATAATATTGCGTAAATAAACTAAAGAGTTAACAATTTATATATTGCAACCTTTCGAAGGTCAGTTATCAAACTACAATTAATCAACTGTCCTAGATTTCATTCTATAGAAAATTGGTTATGCGAAGAACCACTTTATTTTCACTGTATTGTTTTACATCAGAGTGAAAACTATTGGTTCCCTTTATGAATGTGAATAAAGCCAAAACAATAACTGAGGCATTTTGTGGTTTCTCATCAGCTATTTACAACCATAAATGTATTTAAATGTAACTAAGGTATGACATATAAGCGTCAGGTCGTTTAGAGATTATGTATGATGTGAGATATGTCAAATGAGTGGGCGAAAATAGCTTCAAATTTAATACTTGATGGTGCATATATTAACCTTAGACATATCTATGATATCAAAGCTAAAATATTTGAACATATCTTATTTAGAAACATATTTAAAACTACATTCGGTACAAAAGACACATTAGAAAACGTTCTTCAACTATTTTCATCAATCAAAGATATAATAAACCAACAGTAAAAGTAACGAGAATTTCGAACCAGAACGAAAACAGATGATGGTTTCCGGTTTACATTAATTTTTCAGTTGATTATATTTTGTACTGAAGAATTCATTTGACATACAATAAATTTGCACAGAACTACCAAACTAGATAATTAACATGGTAAGTATTTAAATAAATAGTTCTCAACGTTTTATCCAGCAGGTAGCCGGGATGAGTGCCCAAGGTGAGAAGTGAAATGTTTAAGTCATGAATGACAACAAATAAGTGTCACTTAATTTCATTAGCTGAATGAGGCAATAAAATATGTTCAAATAGACGGGGCATATTAATTGAACGGGACCACACATGTTACAAAACCTAATGGTCTTAAGGTCGATACTATATACAACCCTTAGTACGCACTGCTAAGGAGTACCAATAGTACTCTACTACTTCCTTAGTTCCAACGATAATAACGCCTCAAATCATCCGTGATTAGAATTAAATTTGGGTTATACATAATTCTCGTAAAACCGCCCAAACGAATTTGAATATATATGTGGGACAGAATCAATAAACAGTAGAGCATTGTGAAACAAGATGATAGTCATATGCTACTAAGACATTTAGTTGTATGTAAACACAATTTCTTGGTAATAAAAACATTTACATTCCACAACGTCGATGTAAATTAATAGAAAAGTAACAAGCAGATAATCGAAGTTCAGGAGACCATATATATATATATATATGACTGATATGTTCAAGCAGACTTTTTTCTCACAGTAGAAAATACAAAATAACAAGCACGACACACAGGCAAGCAAACTTATAAGAAAAACAAACTAGTAAGTCATTTTTAAAAAACATTTTCGCTCAATATTTATCATTATATGAACTGTATTTTAATGTTTATTAATAATCGGAGCAGACTTTTCAACATGCACACTCATATACAAAGCGATTGATGCAGAACGAAAAAAAGTTATATTGAATAATTTATGAGTTGACTTCGACTTTGAAATACGAAACAACAAACAAAATGCAGATCACTGTCTAGTTCATTTACAGTTACATTCAGTGCGAAGAATTCACACATAACTAACTAACTAACTAACTTATTTGTTTACTAACTGAAAAACAAACTGACTAACTGATCACTTAGTGAATTAGTAATGATAAAAATAAAAATACACTAAAACGAAATAGATATTTAATAAAACCATTTCAAGAAATGAATGGTACAGTTAACAGTGACAAACGTAAATAATAACGAGAGCATGGTCAACTACACTGTGTATAATAGATTGTTTTTACATAAAAATCTATAGAATGGACGGCAGTTGTACATATATTGATAGTTAAGAAAAAAGTGAATTAAAGAGTGAAGTAAAAATAAGAACGGCTATTTAGTGAAAGAAAGTAATTGTTAGATACAATGATGTAATGAATACTGAGACTTGCAGCAAGACCTTGTCCGCCCTTTTAGTGTATAAAACGTCTTATCCAAACCCATAAAGGATAACAATAAACAACATGATAAATAAACTGAACAAATGTAACAAATTGCACGATTTCGTGCAATCCGATGGTAAATAAATAAGTGACTTGTGTACGAAACATAAGTCATTCGTATAAACTAAAAAGTAGCACTATTTTAAACGATTAAAGTTCCAAATATGAACTAAATATATTCGGGAATATTATCAGTTATTAGCAAGAATATGTGAACTGAACATTTCAATTAGCTAGCTGTACCCAATGTAGAGCATGACACATATGTGCATCAGTTCATGTTGCCATATTACACTGGCACAGCGAGATCCGATTATTTCGAGACAAATTCGAGAGTAATAGAAGTAACCGCATCACTGATAGTAGAAAAAATTAGATCTAGAAAAAATAGAACGAAATGGTTCACGAAGATTTCGTGACTCAGGTTCTAAAAAAGGATAAGGATGGAATGCAGCATCGTAAAGTGAATTGTAACGGGTTAGTAGCTGCTGAAAAAAGTGAGTCTTTAGGGAGAAAACATTTATGAACAGTGACTGCAGTGAACCTAGTAACTGATCCACCAAATACAAAGTAAAAAAACAAAGGCTTGAGCATGGATTAGTTTAGCGTCAAGAAAAACTTTCAGATAGTATTGAAAAAACAAGTTAGTTATCTTCCATATAGGTATAGAATTTATTTATTAATGGTTTATACTTTGCATTGATTTGTCAAGAGAATATTGAGACTTAACATAGAAGAGCATTGAATTAAACTAAAATTATGCAATAATTAAGTAGACTGTCATTAAATTCCTTTGACAATAAAAAGCCACGAAACATCAAGTATACCTTAAAATTGTTCCTGTAGCAATTAAATCAAGCAGTAAAAAGTTAATGCGTTCACAGCTTTACAAGTAGAGAGTGTAATCAACCACTTTACATTTTAAAAAATTGAATAAGCAATATAGCTGGGTTTCTAAAAACCTAAATTAGATGGAGCTTTCCTTTAGAAACTGATATCAGCGATTAAAAAAGGATCTATTTCTAAGTGAATAATTCTAATATATTTCAAGAATTACTTTTCTGAAGTGTTCACATATTCATATATCCTGCATGAGGTCTAAGCTTTGAATTTATACTAGTATATTTTATACGAATATTCGTCAATATTAAAACGAATAGTTTAACAAAAATTGAGCGCCAAGTATAGAGAAGTCATAATATGTGAAAATTATATTCGAAATAATCTCAGCGATTGAAATTTAAATAATTTCAACGTTTCGTTCAGCAAACTTGTCGTCATTACTTTAGAGTAATGACCAAAATCATCAAAGAAATATATAGTGTTTAACAATCAAATCACATTTGGGAACGGAACACGAGATTTATTTTGAAGGAACCAAAATGCTTCAGAAAGGTTCTAACACTCATAAAGAAAGATCAACAGCAGAAGCGTTGTATATATGGGCGAACAAGAAAGGATGGTATTCAACTAGCGATTACTTGACAAATATTCGTTAACAAGTAATTGGACCCATTCTTTATTCAACCTGTTTATTTCACATGTATAGTTATTCTGACTGAACTTAATGTGGGCTATTTTTAGCAATACATTTATGTATCTGATGATTCTCATTTTACATGCACATCAATGATTCAGAAACATTTTTTCAACCTTCAACTTGTACTTTTATTTTGCTTTATTTAATCCATCACATAAAAACATTAACATCTGATATCAACTACTAATAACTCAATCTTACACATACATGCATACACACAATTTGTTCAGTTATTTATTTTTACATCGTGAACTTTCCACATGATTCGCATTTAACTGACTCATGATATTCTATTTACTTAAGTTTAAATATGATTTGATTAGCACAGTATAGATTACATTTAATTGTTAAACGCTATATATTTCTTTGATGATTTTGATTATTACCCTGAAGAAGTCCATACAAGTTTGCTGGACGAAACGTTGAAATTATTTAATTTTCAATCGCTGAAATTATTTCAAATATAAATTTGATATATAGTATATTGCCCCAGAGAAATAAAACACTAGTCACCATTTCTTAGTAAAACAAAACAAAATTGGTACAACACTTTAACAAGAAAAAGTTCGACAAAACTGAATAAAACACTGCCCTTATGTTATGGTTAACAGTAAGTAAATTTGATAGTTACATCTAAATGATCTACAAAATTTGAATTTTTAAATAATTATATTTAGTCATAGTGTCGTGTTCATTTCAATCGAGATAATACTGAAAACCAGGTAGCGTAACCCAGGTGTGTTTTCATAGTATAGGAATACAATTTCACATTACGCCTCTACAACCCCATAATGGGTCGGTCTAAGGACTGTTAGCTCTCATAGAGAGCCTTCAAATTTCATACCAATGAGTTGGCATCTAATGGCTTACATTTCAAACTTCAGTGGATTCCAAATAGCTTTGGATAGTCAAAAATGAAAATTACAACAAAAAGAATGAATACATGAACGCGTTTGAACAATCTAATGCAAAGTTAACCAAGATGAAGATGGAAATTTTACGCTTTGTTTTAATTACATCACTAGTTAACATTTAACTACACAATCTGTTGTCTACCTTCAAAGTGAAATAAAGGAACGTACGAAACATGGACATAGAGAGAATTGAAACGCAAGAACAAAATGTTGGGCATTAATGAAACAAAATAACACATTTGTAGTTAAAACATAAGAGAAAAATATTTTTTAATTAATGATAGGGTAAATGAAAAAGTTAAATAAAATACATGCATCAATGAAGAAGACAAGGATTACAAAAATTTAAAAATCCTTACAAAAAATGTCACTCACTTTTAGATTTTTTCCATCAAATGGCAATGTACCGCTAACCAATGTATATAGAATTACACCTAATGACCAAACATCAACTTCAGGACCTTCATATTTACGTCCTAAAAACAATTCCGGTGCAGCATAGGGTGGACTACCACAAAATGTATCCAACTTTTGTGAATTAGAAAAATAATTTGAAAATCCAAAATCTGCTATTTTTATGTTCAATTCAGCATCAAGTAATAAATTTTCAGCCTTTAAGAAACAAAAATTGAAAAAGAAAACTGAATAATTCGGCAATATTAGCAAATTACAATACTATATATGTATTTGTGAATTACTTACTTATTCCTGTTACCACTCTAGGAGGAGCATAGATTGCTCACCAGGACTAACTGTCGAACTCTCTTCTGGACAACCCTTTCCAGTTTTTTCCAGTTGCTATTCATCCTTTTCATGTCTGCTCCCAATTCTCGATACAATGTGCTCTTAGGTTTCTCTTTCTTCCTTTTCCCTTCAGGATCCCAAGTTAGCACTTTCCTATCCACCTCCAGCGTCTTTTCCTAATTTCCTTATCAGCTGGAAAATGGTTCATTCTTTCCCATAGTTGGTTGTTGCTGATGGACATCGAGTTTCTTGCGTAAACAACCGTTTATAAAAACTTGTATCCTTTTGATGATGGCTGTAGTTCTCCGCGTTTCATCCCTGTACAATGTAACTGTCTTGACGTTCGTAATGAAGATTGAGAATTTGATGTTAGCTGATAATAGAGTTGAGTTCAATATGTTTTTCGACTGTAGGAATATTTTCCTTGCTTTGCCGATCCTTTCCTTTTTATAGGCAACAGATCCATCGATTATGTTGGCCAGGAACGTGAAAGTTCTCTGATCATCCAGAGCTTCATCAGGTGTGATTGAGTTGGAGGTCTCGGTGTTTTATTTGAGGGTTTTGCTTTTTAATTTATGTATGTTGCGGCCTACTATTGCAGAGGCTGCTGTTACACTGGCTGTTACGATCTGCAAATATCGGTGTGTATGGGCTAGGAGAGCTAGGTCATTTGCGAAATCCAAATCGTCTACTACAATGGATATTGAATTTTCTACATTTGAAATGAATATTAATAAATGAGGTATTTTGTGCAGACTTGTATTATTTAAAATTGATGAACCTACATGTTATCAGCTTACATAGCAAGCTTGATACGTATAAACCACTCAAATCTAAACGTGATCGTTAACAGTGAAATTTGAAATGGTATAGATTATTCGAATAATAAGAAATAAAGCAAACTATCAGTGCAACAACGAATAGCTTATTTTGTTTGAAGACAAAGTATGCAAATGATATACAAGTTAGAATGTATGCGTTCAGATGCCAATAGAACAGGTAGAATAATTGTATAAATGAACGTAACAAAATTGATGAGAGCGAAATTTTAAAATAATTTTATTTTCATTGCGGTTTGTCTTACGTAAAAGAATTAGGAAGAAAAAATTAACAATTTGTCACCAAAAATATAGACTTTGGACTCAAGATTTTACGGTGAACGTGACTGCCTGGTTTATTTCTTCAAGATTCTCTCGACTTTCTAAAACAGTAAATTTGTTACAGAAACAGTCAGCACTGTGCTAAATAATCGTTTAACATTGTCTAGTATTTAAATGGTTTTCATTTAAGAGGATATCAACTTGTAGTGAAAACATTACTTTCAAAGTATCCAAACAGTTTACAAGACCACGTAAATTAATACATAGGCTGAACAATGTAAACAGTTTTAATCAGATATTCGACTACTTTCACTATAAATTCAAAAAATTGTTTTATCAGTTGGCAGGCAGTATTTTTATTATTGCTATCACATACATCAACATATTACTTAGTTTACGTAACAACCTCTTCATTCTCCACCTCATCATAATATTTATTATCAGATGATGATTATAGCAAACGTCATAGGACAGAGGTTACTTGAGGCTAACACGATATGTACGAGAAAAAGATTATTCTAATTTCTTACTGAGTAAGTAGTTCAGATGAATCGATTTATAAAGGAAACTGACAAATATGTTGTGAATTATTTTGAATTTACCTATACCAATTGCTGAATGAATTTCAAAACGATCATATAATATGAAGTACATGTATGTACTGTATTTGTTTATGAAAAACTTTTATGAAATGCCGAATCATAAGGCAACAAATAAGAAATATAAATTAATAGATACAAAGTGTGTATACACAAAGATGCATTAAACAAACAAGTTAAAACTAAAGAGATATTCAGCATTTGCAATGGAGTATAGGCAGTATAATTGATAAGTCACTAATTCATTTGCCATTGAGCAAACCTTACAGATTTTCATTGAGAAATCAGGAAGTCCAGTCAAACTTGAATAGATTAAAAGTAAGATGATCACTATCTAGGTAAGTGTTTGTAGAAAATTGTCCAACTTAATGAATAATACCAAGAATCGATAAAGAATGGATACAAAACTAAGAGAACTAAACGTTATAGGTAAGTTTCGAAATAGAAAGAAACATTCGTCAAGTGTTTTTTCGTTTTCCATAGTTCTTTAAATGATATCTGTTTGTAATGGAAATAATACTCAGAAGACACATCTACACAAACCAGCCAGGTACAGTGGATTTGAACTTTTCCATCTCCCAAGCTGTAAGCAACCAGTTTATCATAATCAATAAGTTATATTTAGTGTGCCAGAGTGAATTATGAATAGACTGAGGAGAAAAGAATGGAAACGAAATTTCAAATATATAATTAATACGAGTTTGGAGATTGATAAGGAATATAACTTATAATTCGGAAGTTACCTATCTTTTTTCTTACGTAATCGAAGTGAAAACATGAAATAAAAACATATGAGCATCTTGAAACACATAAGCTACTAAAAAGACAAGAAAATATCCACACATTCACTCACAAGGTTCTTCATCAAGCCTATTGAAAGAATACTACTTAATGTCTACTAATAAGCAGACTAAATCAACATAACAAGACTTGATTAAGAACACTACTAGGGTATACACTTTTGCTTCTCACTATAAAAAAATAACCCACTAGTCAGCTAATTTTAAAAAACGTAGGAACCAGCACAAATGTGTGCTGGTGCGACGGAACATAATATACGATTATTGCAGGGAACTTAATCATCCCTTTTAACAGGAAAACTAAGTCAAATAAAATGTTGCTTGCCAAAATTCTATCAGCATTGAGGGAATTACACTTTTTACAAAGAACTTTTAATCACCTTGCTGTACTATTTTTTTCTATTTTGTCATTGGAATTCTAGGATTTGTTAAATTATAATTTATACATTGTCTAGATTAAGTGAATAAACCTGTCGTATAAATACCCAACTAGATACATGTAGACTGTTGCATTAGTGCATAGATATTTGGTACAGGAGGACTCAACTTATTCAAAACTCTTCAACCAACATAAAAAAGTATCTGTACCGCTGTTCATCGTAAACTTAATGTGATAATTTCCATTCTTTTCGTTCTTGAATAATACATGACATATAGGGACGTGTCTATTTGATTGAAGTTTTTAATTGGGTGCATATTATTAATTAAGATTATTAGAAATTTACACTGTAACACATATTGTCTATTCAAAACACAAGTTGATTACCATATTATACACAACAATAAAAATTAGCATATCAGTTTCCAAAAAGAAACAAAACAAATTCACTCATAAACATCAGCTTAATAATAAAATGTGTTGAAAAATGAACTTTCAATTTTCTTGTTTTTAATCATCATTATCGCATACAGTAAACTTTGCAACCTATCAACTGAATTCCTTTCCAATAGCTCACGTGTAAATATATACTTTTTCTAAAAAAAAAACGATTTGATATTTTTTTAGCCAACTCAAATTATTTAAATCTTCAACCCAACGATGATATGCATAAACAATTTGGGAATCATAGAAACAACCTAAAAACTATATTAATTGGTTATTATATGTATCGTCCGGTTTTGTCATTGGTTTTTAATATAACATAGACTAGTTCAATAATCTGGTTAGTCATCATAAATAATGAAGAAAATTTCGTTAGTGTACTGAGGAGTTAAGTAGAAAAATGTATTGTATTTACCTAATACAGTACGAACACTGATCATACATATAACTATCAAGGCATACTTAGATACGAAAATAAACGAAATGCTCAGTAGGTGGAAAAAGGAATAATTGGAAACAAGGAAGATAAAGAGAGATGATCTAATAAGGAAGGTATAAAAAGTCCTGCCTAAACACCTTACACTGTCGAAATTTAAAAATAAAAATAATAAAAGACTGGTTGTTTTGAATAGGATGAATAGCAATATTATTGAACAACAACTTACTTTCAAGTCTCGATGAACAATCATTTTTTGGTGACAATACTGTACAGCTGAAACAATTTGACGAAATTTACATCGTGCATCTTTTTCATTCATTTTACCATGTGAAACAAGATAATCAAATACTTCACCTAAACGAAAACAACAGACAACAGAAAAAAAATAGAAGAGTTGTCAATCAAAATTACGAAAAAACAAATTATAAAATGAAAAACAACAATGATACGTGTTAAGAAAAGCTCAGGTTATCTAGCTTTTGTTAATAAAGGATAGTTTTAGGGGGTAGGAATAATCGCGATAACATTTTTCTAATTCCTCAGTGAACTTAAATGCTATTCCATTGATTGTTGTTACTTTGTTACATTGTTATTTCATTCCAATTTTGACATGTAAGCCTCGTTAAATATTAGGCTTTTGAACTCTTGAGTTCTTCCTGGTCTTCATTTTAAAACTTACAGAATAAACAATGTTTCATTTATTTTGAATAATCAACATATTCCTCATCCCAACTCGGTATTTTCCTTCTTTTTATATCAAGACACTATAACGGGTGAATCGATAAATAAATAATTATTTATTTATATTCATACAAACACAAATATACATCTAGTTTGTCTTATAAACAATCATTAATCTGGATGAACATATATAAAACGGCAGAATGCATTAATGTAAAACAACAAATTATTTGGCACTAATGATAATAATCAATAAAAGGATAGGTTGACATTTTAGCAACAGTAATAATAACAGTATTCATAATAATAATAATAATAATAATAATAATAATAATAATAATAATAATAATAATAATAATAATAATATATGAACGAATCGAAACTGATAAGACAAGAATTAAGACGAGAAACAGAAAATATTCTATGTACATAAATATTTATATTCATGAATATGTAACGCATACACAAACACAGCACAGATTGATATACTAGATATGTGGGCATATTTGCACATACATACATCTATCACCAGAAGTGTCTATCATATATATATAAATTGGATAGAAAAAGGAATTTGTTCATCTAATAAACTGATAACAGAACAAACAAGATCCTTTTTAATATAATTTATTGAATAAAATATTCAATAAAAAGTCTGTTAAATGAAATAATATACACTTCTTAGCGCACAATAACTTGTAAAAAGACTAAGAGTCAACAATAGGAGGAAGTCTCATGAGTAGTTATAAAAGTTCTTTAATTTCATATCATTAATTGTTTGATTTTAGTTATATTCCCAAAACCTATTCATAATCTGATAGTCAGTGCTTATTTCTTCGAGTCCTCAAATGAGGACCTAATCTAGGGAATCTGAAATATAAAGCGACTACCTTATTCAGAACAATAATCTTGTGTTAAATCAATTTTAAACCTAGCAAATAATGTAAAGTAGCATGAATTAAAGAACTGTTTTGTTAATTTAAATTTTATTAATAAAAAAGCCTTTTTTACGCAGTTTACAGTGAAAATGTCACTGGCTAGATAGTAAAGTGAATTCCAAATTTAAACATATTCGAACCGATCAGTGATAAAAACCTAATATTCACATCCTTCGAATAGTAGTCCATGTAGTCCGAAGAAAATGAATGATTTATGAGAGGAAGTGTAGAATGAAGACGATAAAGCAACTTATAAGTGTCAATAAATATGTTTCAAACCAACAACTTGAAGAAAATGTTCCAATACTGCGCTCAGTTTATTAGTATTTGATAAATGAAAGTAACATTTCAGCTCATTCATAGGGATATATTTTGATACTTTTGTAGTCTTTCGTATTTTAAAGCTTTCACTGTATGCTAATTGACAATTAGTGAAGAACATCGAAAACGGCAACTCAGAAAAATATTCCGAGTTCCTTTACAAGGAACGGACTTGGTAAATACCAGATAATAGAATTATTTATAAAAAGTAGGAACCCGGATGTGAAAGCTAGGAAATAAATACAACCGACCAATATAACTGGCTGGAAACAACAAACTTTAGTCACTAATGCATCTTGACTACATTAAGGTTACCTAAAAACTAGATACACAACTAAATGAGTCCTAGAGCACTGTCAATTGTTACACAAACTTACTATACACCAAACATTTCTCTGAGTATTAAACAAATAATAAATCTGATTATTCAATTTTTTTACTTTTCAGTGGACAACGAAGTGAACGCCATCAACGGATTGATGTTAGCAAGCTGGTTGCAACTTCTGTTGCAAGTAAGTATCGAACCGAGCTAGCCTCTAGGCTGGCTACCACTCCACCGAAAAGTATAGATGAGCATTGGTTGCAATTGCATGACGCCATGAAAATGGCGGGAACAGTCAGTTGTGGGTTTGCGAAACGTCCCGCTTTTAAGCACTGGGTTTCTTCTGGTTCCTTACAACTCATTGAAGCCCGTCGGTCTACTCCGGGTAACCGTGAGTTTGACCATAAACGAAGGTTTTTACGTAAGGAAATCGGGCAAAGCTTGCGTAAGGACCGAGAAGCCTGGTGGTCGATGCGTGCTAATGAGCTGGAAGCAGCAGCTGCATCTGGTAACTACCGGAAGCTCTTCCAACTCATCCGAGCCACTGGCAGCAAGAAGTCTGGTGTGAGTGAAACAATCTGCGAGGATGATGGGATGCCAATCACTAACATCCATCGCCGTCTTGGACGATGGGCAGAATTTTTCGAAGGGCAGTTCAACTGGCCTGCTGCTCCGGTAACATCGGTCAGACTGTCCTGCCCTCCATGGCCGGTGACGACTGATCCACCAAATGAGGAGGAAGTCCACAAGGAACTCCAACTCTTGAAGCGTTACAAATCACCTGGCCCAGATGACTTACCTCCGGCTCTTTTTAAAGATGGTGGTGACTTTTTGACTAAGGAATTGACGACGTTGTTTACAAAGGTTTGGGATCTAGAGAGTGTACCAACGTCATGGAATGAGTCGATAGTTGTCCCTATCTTTAAAAAGGGTTCACGTCGTTCTTGTAACAACTATCGGGGGATAAGTTTACTTCCGATTGCGTCCAAGCTATTGGCTTCCGTCATTCTTCGTAGGTTGTTCAAAACCCGAGAAAGATTGACTCGCGAGGAGCAGGCTGGGTTTCGTTCTGGTCGAGGATGTATTGATCATATCTTCACCCTCCGCCAAATGTTAGAACACTGTCATACTTATCAAAGGCCAACAATCGTAGTGTTTCTTGACATCAGGGCTGCCTTCGATTCGTTGGATAGGACTGTTCTCTGGGATTGTCTATTGAAGAAGGGTGTGCCTGAGAAGTTTATTAACATCCTAAAAGCCCTGTATAAAAACACCTCAGGCAGAGTGAGGGCATACAACCACCTCTCTCCATTGTTCCATTCGAGCAGTGGGGTTAGGCAGGGTTGCCCAATCTCACCATTCCTCTTCAACTTTGCCATCGATGACATTCTGGAAACAGCTCTGATGAATGTAAGTAATGGTGGTGTGGATCTGTTGCCTGGAGAAAGACTTCTCGACCTTGAGTATGCGGACGATATTGTCTTACTGTGCGATAATGCCCAAGGCATGCAATCCGCACTTAATCAGTTGGCAATCAATGTCCGTAGGTATGGTATGTGCTTTGCACCTTCGAAGTGCAAAGTACTTCTACAAGACTGGCAGGATCCCAATCCTGTACTCACCCTGGATGGTGAGCAGATAGACGTAGTTGAGAAGTTCGTGTATCTGGGTAGCTGCATAAGTGCTGGTGGGGGTGTGAGTGATGAGATCAATGCACGAATAGTGAAAGCCAGAGCGGCTTATGCCAATCTGGGCCACCTTTGGCGCCTTCGTGATGTTAGTCTGGCTGTAAAAGGCCGGATCTACAACGCGTCGGTGAGAGCAGTTTTGCTCTATGCTTGTGAAACCTGGCCTCTCCGAGTTGAGGACGTTAGACGACTCTCTGTGTTTGATCATCGCTGTCTCCGAAGGATTGCTGACATTCAGTGGCAACACCATGTCAGTAATGCAGAGGTTCGGCATCGTGTGTTCGGGCACAGAGATGATAATTCAATTGGTGTCACCATCTTGAAACACCGACTTCGGTGGCTTGGACATGTTCTCCGAATGTCGTCCCAGAGAATTCCACGTCGTGCATTATTTGCCGACTCTGGGACTGGTTGGAAGAAGCGGAGAGGTGGTCAGTGCATGACATGGTGTCGTGGCATGAAAGAAAGCTGCAAAGGACTGGCTTGTGTTGGTCCTTCACGACTCCCTGGCTGGGGTCCGAGAGATGGTGCAACACAGTGGCTAGAGACGTTATCAGATATGGCTCAGAATAGAAGCCAGTGGCGATCCTGCTGTAACCTTCTTTTACTTTCTTCATAAAAAGTGGTTGTGTCTCCTTTACCTGAAAGATTTCTTCTGATTGTACCTCTTCGTCATTACTCTCTTTTTCTTTTGCGTTCCTTAGTTTTTTTTTTTTTCTTTCTACTTCTCTTCGAATTCCCATTGTTTTGTGTGGCGCATATATATTGGCGCTCTCTTGTACCAATATTTATGTGTTCAAATAAATAAATAAATAAATAAATAAAGAATGTTTATTCCTTTATTCATAGAATATAAACAATAAAACTACTGAAGAGTGTATAACAAAGTTGAGAGAATTATAGAAACTGTATTTATGCATATAACTGCATTTTAATCGGAAAAATGTGATCTTGGGAAGAAAGAACATCTTATATTTTTCGAACTAAAAATATGAAATAGTAGGCATTTTACAATTTACAAATTACACAACGCGAACTTAACTAACTGAAGTATATGGAAGATTATCCATTATTTTTTTTAGTTGATGAACATTTAAGAAATACTAACCTTTTGACTAATATATATGGCATATTTATTGGACAATAAACATAGATGGAGAATAAAACAAAGAGATACACAGAAATCCATAACTAAAACTGTACTACCAGTTAGGTAGATTTAACATGTGACATGTTAAAACTTGTTTTTTATTAGAAACAGAAATTAATACTATGATACTTTGTTGAAATTACATTTGAAATGTAAATGTAAGTGTTAATGTTTAGCGTTATTTTTATTTACAATTTCTACGATTGGATAGATTAAAATAATAACTTAAAGAATTTACAGTCACTGATACTACAAGTCATCATTATACACTTCTAAATGTTCAGTAACACCAATTTTTAATATGAGTATTGAGAAAACTCAGAAAGCTGAGATAAATGTCAGTTAGGCAGCATTCGTTTTTAAAAATAAAACAATGAATATGAGTTTTTTTTCTCTTAATTTCCGTTGATATGTAGACGCAGTTGTCACGTTTATCTCTGGTGAAGTCATCCAAGCTGGAAAATTGTTACTGCGAAGTCAAATATACAGAGTCAATAGTGATGAGACAGAAATTCTAAACAACAGAGCCATATTATCGACTGCAGTGATCTGTTACAGCAGTAAAGTGTTTACTAAGGAAAAAAAACACGTTGAACGATGTTGCTTTTTTGATTGAATGGATTTCTTGAATGAGGGACAAAACGACATAGAATTCATGACTCAAGAATTGCTGGTGGAAGCGGTAACGTTTGTTTAGCGCACCAATTTAATTTGCTAAATCACATCAGCACCGAGAGAACAATATAAAGAGCAAAATAGTGGAATAGTAGTACACTTAAGGCAATAAAGAAATATTTAGAGAGAATGTTCCAGGGAAAGGGATTCAGTGATAGGACTTGGAAGGACAGTGACAGATATATCCTCTGATTACATCTTGGATGAAATTAAAGCGAAAGCATTTTATCATTAAAACGACTAGGAGGTCAGATGTAGTGAATGCATTGAGTATTTTTAACTCTCAAGTGTGTTAAGGCACTCTGAAAACAGATGTGTGAATACTGGCATTTCAAAGGAAGCAACTGACCAAAATTATCTACCTACTGCAACGATATTTAGACAACTATTTATTCCTAGTATGTACCAACTTTATATAGAGACGAAAACAAAGTGATTAGGCGACATTCGAAATCAATTCAACAATGAATACAAAGAAAAACATTTCTACATCAATAAACACTAATAGAGCAAACGACTGGAAAAAAACAATATTACATCATAAAAGTAATGCGTAAGAGCATCTTCTTTCACTGATACAATACAGTTGAAACAATTAGTTGCGTAGATATATATATTGTCATGAAATTCAAAACTTTATTCTGATGATCAATTATCTCAAAAATAAGAGACTGATCAAGTGTAGTCTTAAACATCACTGGGAAGATTCAAACAAACAATACAAAAAGGAATTAAAACTTCACCACACTGCACAAACTAGTGGCTATCTGGACTCATCAGCTATGTGAATAACGCGATGGCGTTTGAAGCGAATGGTATTTTGTTCGAGTTTCAGAGTGAATATAAAGTTTAAGATGCAGGTTTATCCAGCTGACAAGTCCCAAATGGAACGAAACGCGCATTCTAAATTCTACTCACTGTTAGCGACCATCATCTTTTTTTGCAATGCTTGTGACTTAAAGCAATATAGAGGCAATCCACACAGGATGCACACATGCCAATAAAAGACTGCTTAATTACAGTCCTAAACATCAATCGGAAGATTCAAACGAACAATACAAAAATGAATTATTTTAAAAATAGTTTCATAAAAGATTACTTTAAATAGAGTAGATTGATGATAAAAGTCTGAAGTACAGTTATTCAGTGGAAATAATAGTATTTCAATGCAAAGACACGGGAGATGCATACTCATTATGATATCGTTTGTAACATGAACTCATGCAATTGTATTCAACGATAAAAGTAACTTAAAATGCTAGCATACAACTTACCTCCACTTGCATATTCCATGACCAAGTATAAATGTTTTTCAGATTCAATAACCTCCAATAATTTGACTGAAATAAAAAGACAAAATAAAAAAAATTGTAATTAAAATGAAACGAAATCTTTACTCTTTCGATTACATAATATCCAAAACAATCTTCTACATATACTTTATCTTAACAATCAATTGGTGGTAGCTAAATGATTAAAGCACAAGAGTTGAAATTATTAGGGCTGGTATTTCGATTTCCGTTTTATCAGCCTTGAATAATGAAATCAAGCATTAATATCAGTTCACATGCTAAATTATGTCCAATATCAAGTATACAGAATTGTACATAGCTATAAAGTTAGTTAAAAATGAAATATTGTTCAAATGGAGTAGGTAAATATGATAAACAATGGGATACAATATCTATGACAGGTGAGTAATACAATATTAGTACTCTTTCAGAAAAAAAGAGACCACTACTTCAGAATATTCCCCAAGTAATAATACACGATATGGCTAATATAATGATTAAATAAGTGTGATAATATATATTATGCAGAAATTAAAACAAAGTTAACATTTAATGTATAAAAAATTAAAAGACGGTATGACTCTCAAATATGAACAAAAATTGATAGCATAAAATAAATGATTACACATTAACATTTGCAAAGAATATCATAACTGTGATATTTCCAAAATACTCCAGATAGTTTACATCTCTCACACTAGGATTCTCCATAACATAACGGGAAAAAAGTCAAAGTTTTGAGAACGTTACATCGAATATATATATATATATATATATATATATATATATATATATATATATATATATATATATATATTAAAAATATCAATGTGATGTTTGTGTCATCTAAAACTTGAGAAATAATTTAACTGATTTTTTTAAATATTACAAGATGTGATTTACAATAGAATTTAAAGGAGATCTTTCTGTTGTATTTTTCAGAACATTCCTCGTAAAAGTCAAGTTAAATCGTGTAATCAAATGAAATCTTTCTCGCTATATCTTTAATTTAACTATAGCTTTTATTTATTATTAATGTACATTTTTTTATGAATTGAGCGAGCGTACGACGTTCCGCTATTACACACAAAGGCCGCAAATGCCCTGGTAGGGCCGAGAGTGGGGAGAGTCAGCTCTCCTTCTCGAAATGCTCTCACATCACCACACGTATATAGCCTCTGCCAGGGAAGTCCTACTCACTACCTTCTCGTGGTGGGGTGTTCTTTACGAAATTGAGAGGACGAAAAGCGAATGTCCGGTGCTTTAACCGGGTTGGTGTATATGAAGAGTCCACCTAGGGGAGTTGGAAAACCATGATTTCAAACCAATGGTGCACATGGGCTCCAGTATCCTGCGGGAACAAATGGCGTATGAACCAATTGTTGGTCACCGGCTACCATGGGACTGCATCTCCTTACGTTGCTCCACTGTCTTGTGGATCAGACCTTTGTGTCGAAGGCTCCGGCTGTACCCCCCCCCTCAAGAAAATCACTTGCTTTGGTTTGGGCACCCGGGCAGCATCACAGCCCTCACACAAATCACATTTGATTTGTGTGGCGCATATGTATTTGATGCCTCCTTGTACCAATGTTTATGTGTTTAAATAATAAATAATGTTTTGCTTTTGATAAGATTTGTTTAGTATACAAGTGATATTATCGATTAATTGCATTCAAAACTTGTTAAACAACAATGGGCTTAGTATTTATTCATAGTCTACTGCTTCACTGTACATTGATATAATATATGTGGTTGACAGGGAAGTTACAATACCAAATACAACAATACGAACATTTGATTTACATGACTATCATCAGAAAGTGAATGTTTTACCATAGTTTTGATATTTTTCATTATTCTAAATTGTTCGAAATTGAGAATTGTTGAGTCGGCTTCCGAGAACTACAACGGAGCCTCCAGAGGCCCTAAAGGAGCCGAAGAGTTCCAATCAATCAGAACACGATGGAGCTTTCTAGAATATCAACATGGCATGCTACTACTGCTCAGTAGCATAATATGTCACCTAGCGGACTGGCCAAAATATAATGATTTAACAAATGCTAATATTTATTAATACCCGTGTTTTTCTGTATACGAACGAACCTTTGGGGTAAAGTGCTTCTCGCATATTTTGCGCCTTTTTCTCTTGTGTTCAGGTCTCTGTGTAGTTCTAGCTTGGGGACTACGAGAATAGCTTAGGAACCGAATATAGCGTCCAAGTAGCAAGACTTATCAAGAACACTTAAACAAGAAATAGCTAATGCATACCTTATTTTATAACGAAACAAATTATTTAGTTCTGACTGGTTACAAAAATTTGAACAAATATTTTATCGAAGCACTGTTTTGAGCATGATACAATCAGAATAATTTATTACCTCTTATCTGTTGTGTTGATATCAAGTTAAGATGAATATTCAATAATCTTTCCTACTGTTGCTTATCGGTTTTATTTGATATGAAGCCTGTGGCAAATAGATGTTACTCAAAGTTATCATACCAAATCAACACAATGAGATGAAACTAACAAGATGAATGGTTAATGAGTCAAAATAATTGTAATACTAGTGATAAATTTAAACATTCAGAAAAAGATTCTTAAAGAAGAAATGTAAAGGTACTAATCGAGGAATATTGAGAATCTAGATCTTAGGAAATACAAAGAGTGAACGTATCTGAGACACAGACAACAGTTCAGAGTCACGTAACCTAATATCTGAAACAACTGAATGTGATATCGTAGCGACCCGAAATAGGTAAACAATATCTATCAATATAACTAAGACTAACAGTCAATGATTTAATGAATTAATGCCAAATTTTGGTTTCCCGGGCTTATGGTTTTTACCCAACTCATATTGCAGTCAGCGTTGCGCACCGAGGTATGTAGTAGTAGGATATACAAAACACAACACTCCTAGCTAACTCAGTTGATGAATAGTGACAAAGTTATCAAGTGGTTTGTCGTCATTCCCTATATACTCGACGGGTAACACCAGCATTGTTAGCGCAGCTACTACACGATACGAAAGTGACAGCTCGAAGGTACTTATGTCTAAATCCTTTAGCTTACCTAAGCCTTCTACTCTTATAGGTTATGATTCATAGCCATAAAGTAAAACAGAGCAAGATGTATTGATCAACAAAGCAAAAGTCTGTTTACAATAATGGTTTCGAAATCGATCTTTAACGTTATTGATCAAAACAAATAGGAGTTATTTTGAAAATTGTCTAACAGAAATGTTTCGTTTAAGCAGATATATTTATTATAAAGAAAAACTTTCCGATATATACGAGTGCAATGTAATGTCAAAAAGCACGTATGAAGAAAACTGTAGTTTTTTTCCAAATTACAGTTTAAGTGATATACCAAAAAGAAAACGTTCCAAAAATCAGGGAAAAAGGAAACAATAAACGAAACTCAGGACGAAAAATTTAATACACTCACTCCTATGTACACATATACAACATATTCATTTAATTTTAGCTTTGAATAATATTTAAAATGTATACCAATTTGAACTGCAGTTAGTTACTACAAATATATCAACCTTGCGTTACGTAATATATATATATATATATATATATATATATATATATATAACAACCTTCAGTATTCGATACGGCAAATTGAGGGTCGATCGATAGTATAAGCGATAAAGTAAATATATAAGCAAGCTTGTCACTATTATCATTATGAAGACAGGTGAAGAAAACAAACAAACAAAAAACTGAGTGAATGAAAGTGAAACAAATTGAAGAATGGTTAAACTAAAACATTAGAAAAGATGAACAAACAGCTCAGAATCATTTAAGTAAAGCACAATAAACTAAAGAGGATATCATGCTCATTAGAAATAACTTTTATCTAGTTTATGATACGCACACGAAAAAAAAAATACATAAATATCCATTCAAGATAAAAAGGAATGTGTCCAAAAATTGCATCAGATAAATTTTGATATATATATATATATATATATATATATATATATATATATGCATAAATACAGGTTGTACTGTTGTAATAAGGAATTGAAAATGGAAGATTACTGACACCAGTTTAAACTTATACTTATTCACAATCGCTTTTTATTGGTGGAAGATACATAAGCAAAAATAGACAGTATAGATCGTCAAACCACAAGTATGATTTAAATTATGGTAATAGTAGCTATAACAGAAGAAATTTGAGTTATCTTTAATAAAACGGAACTATAGAGTTAGCGATGTGATAGGAGATACATGGTAGAAAAAACAAAACATTTAGTTAGGAGTTTTAGACTGCATTACATGTCATTTTATCTCAATATAACAATTAGTCACTCTACACCTTTCAATCGTTATACACATAAAGTATGCGAATCTATAAATGTTTATCCCTAACAAAAAACACTGTATCATGTGTATATGTTCTTTGCTGAGAACAGTTTGCTAGTGTCTTTTACATTTAAAAATCTAGAAGCAATAGAAACCAACTGTGAATAAAGACCTGTTCTTCTGAGATATTTAGTATGTTCAGAAAGTAAAATATGTGAAAACAGGACTACAGTATGTCCCATTCAAAACAATTAAAAACTTTAATTTTTAAATATCATTTTCATTTGACCTTTCCTGGTAATTCAATACCAAACTATTATTCGATATTATTCGGTAGGATACCATAAAAGAGCAAATGTAACACAAATGTTTTAAGACAAGCTGATAACTACCACTCGTTGTTATTACATCCAAAAAAGCTCATAAACGTCTAAATTAAAAAATTTGTCTGGAAATACGTGGATTTAAACAAGTGACGTATTCATATCAATTATCTCGAAGATAACTAAGGCTTGCTAAAATCGATAACCACTTTTGCAAATAGAGGATTACGAAGAATTAGTAAACAAATGTTCTGTTTTGTCTACCGACTTCCTGATTTTAAAGCTAATTAACAAGCAAGAAAAGTCCATTTTGTCCTTGTTTTTCTCTTAAATTTGATAATACTTATTAGGAAACACAGATTGAGTTCAATTCATTTACAAATATTCTTAAGTTAAAAAGCCAGG